AGCGGGTGCTGCACCTGCTGCTGGCTGCTGCAGCGCACGGGGAGTGAGGGGAGGGTGTAGAAGGATGGACTCCCCAAACCTTCCCCTGCCACGGGGCCATCAGCTGCGGTCACTCGGAGAACAGGTCTCTGCCTTTCTTCACATTTAAAAGCTATTTTTGCACTTGGTTTTGCCTAACCAGCGCGGCCAGCCCTGGACCTCTTCCCGCTGCCTCCCGAAGGCACAGGGCACGGCCCTGTTGGGGACAGGCGGCTGCGTTGGGGACAGGCAGCTCTCCCCAGCCTGGCGCCGGTGCAGTTTTACCGCTACGTTTTAATTCATGTGAGGTGGAGTGAGATGCTATAGGATTAGGAATATCCATAGATACTTGGGAAAATTCCTCAAACCCTTCAAGTCCAGGCTGTTGCTGGGATGCCGAGGCTGCGACAACAGCAAAAAAAGCCCAGTTGATAAATGTCAAAAGAAATACAGTAATCAGCTGAAAGCAATTTACCGAGCCATGTAACCGCCCTGGGCTCGCCATTTTCCTTTATTCATTTATCATGGTAAGCACTTTGGCCAAAATACACAAAGCAGAGAAATTGTTGACATGTGGGGCCCTAGCAGAGCAAATCCTTCATCCTCCTCCCCCTCCCCACTGCGCACAAACTAACTTTTTGGGAGTTGTTTATTTAAGGACTGCAGAGCACTCTGTGCTCTTTGAACCCAAATGCTTTGGGAGCGGGGCTGCGGGGTTGGCCGCCACCTTCCCTCCTCTTGCCATCGCCCCCGGCTGCGGGGATGCTGGTTGCTGCTGTTGGGAAGTACCTGCTGGTAGTGAGGGGAGCTGCGCGACGTGTTCAGGACCCCGTTCTGCTCCTGCTTCCTCCACCCCCTAAAATGTGGTACTGGCGGCTCTTACGGGCACACCGTAACCGGTCAGGGAGGGCACATGCTGGTTTTAGAAAGTTCCTGCATTGGCTCTTGGTCTTCCCGGTCCTGGCTAAAGCAACCATGCTGACAGCACCGGTTTCAGTTCTCTATCCGCGAAGCCCAGGGAACCGCACAGCCCGTCTCCCCTGCCCACCCTGCGCCCATCGGTGTCGAGCTCCGCTGTGCCTTCCCGGCGGCCAGGCTGCCGGCAACTCTGCTGGCCACGGCAAGGGGCAAATGCTTCTTTTGAGACGCATGAACCCCAAGGGGACATGCCGACCAGCAACTGGCTGTCCCAAGGCTGCTCCTCCACATCTCATTTTGACTTTATTTTAGGCAAAAATAAATGCTGAGGTTCGCAGCAAGGCAGCACAGGTTTGTCATCCTCGCTTCTGCCAGGCTGCGAGGTGCTGGGATGCAAACAGGCTGGGGCGCGAGGCGAGCGGGGCAGCCTTTCCGGCATCTATGTGGGAGCCTTTCCAGCAGCCTCCAGTCCTCCTTCCTGCTATTTTATTTTTAATCTTAGTTCACTCAGTTCTGTTGCCACCTGGATGAAGAAGAGTGAGGGGAGCTCCCCCTCCCTCCAGTACGATCCAAGGTGGGGAACGGGAGCAGCCAAAGCACAGAGCTGCTCCGGAGGTCTGGCCGAGCTGCCCATCGCCTGAGGCTGCTGACTCCAGGCAGGGATGGCTGCTGGGGTGCACGGCAGTCTGTTCTGGCTTGAGGGGGTGGCGTGTCCATAGGGATGGCGCTTATCCAAGCAGCTCCTTGGTCTTCACTGCCAGCAGCTTGTCCATCTCTGCTGCGGCGCCATCTGCCATTTGCTGGATCTGCGGCAACATAGCACAAGTCTGAGTCGCGTGCTAGGTGATGCCAGAGTTTAAAGGGAAAGGAATGACTGGATCACCTCCTGAAGCAAAGCCCCAAATCCTAATAAAACCCAAAATAGTGCTGGGGCAATAACTGGCTCTTTCTGGGGGCTCCCACCAGCCCGCAGTGATTCTGTGCCAGCGTTGCATCCGTGCAGTGAGAACAGGGACTGGTCAAAGGCTCTGAAAAGAGATGTGCAACGCAAACTCTTGGCTGAGCTTCATAAGTGATTTGGTCAGGTCCTTATTTAACCGAGATGCTTCAGGGGAAGGCAGAGTTAGAGACCCGCTGGTGTCAGCACCAGAGAATAGAGGGCTTGTCGCATTACCTCCTGCAACCTTTCCACTGTTAGAACAAACTAGGCAACAGCAGGAGCCGCAGCCTTCGTACATGCGAAGGATTCATGCATCAGGTAACGGATCTGTTTATTTCTTGTAAAAAGAAATAAATTGCTATTGTTAAAGCCCTGCCCAGGGGTCAGGTCTCCTGGTAACACGGGATGGACGTAGCAAGCCTGCAAACCGGACAGAAATCTGCGTGCACTTCTTTGAGTGAGTGCAGATAAAGGCTGGAACACACCACGGCGGGGGTGATGTGCTAGTTTTACAAGACTGACTGAGATGTACTCGCTCCCAAGGTCCAAGGTACATGACGATGACCTTTCCTCATGCTGAAAAATTTGGGTACAAGCATAAATTAGACTTGAGACGCTACCTCTACAAATGCAGAGAACCATCTGTCTGCTCTGGGAGAACTGCTTCCCAACAGGATTCAGTTACAATAGTATGGCCATTTTTCCTGCTTGCACAAATGCTCTGTATATCAATGTTTATTTTTGTGAGCACACAGAGAACTGTCCTGAAGCATTTGCAATGTATCTAACTTTAGCTGTTAATAAACAAACAGCTAAAAAGTAATGGCCTGCCTTCAGAGGCATCAATTCAGCAAAACACTTAGGCTTGTGCCTGAGTTTATGCCCAAGTAATTGACTTTAGTGACATCTGCTCTCAGGGAATTAGGCATGTGCTTAAGTATTTTCCTGAATTGGAGCCAAAAACTCCTAACAGAGATAATCTCACTAGCCTTTTCATTAATAACAAACTGGAGCAATCCTCATTAACACCAGCTGTTTTGCAGTGGCCAGGCACCGCGTAAATGGTGGTAAAGCTATGGACGCACGTCATTCTGCTCCCCAAGTTCACCTGGTTTGTGCAACAATCCTTTAGTACGAAAGCTTTCAGGGGATGCTTTTTTTTTCCCCGTGTCACCTTACAATGGTTCATATCATAAATTTGGCTTTGAGATTGAAGCCCCAAATCTCACAAAGAAAAAGCAAATACAACAGCCGTTGCCGACTCCAAAAATTCAGCCCAGGGCCACCCATTCCCCGGTCGGGTTCTCAGTGCTGGGGATTTGTCAGCAAGGGCAGGGACAAACGCACCACTGAGCTGTGAAACATCGTGGTGTGAAACATCGTGGCAGAAGGGGAAAAAAAACAAAAGAAAAAATTACCTGCTTTTCTAGCAGCCAGATGGTATCTTCAGACACTTTGCTCTTGAACTTCTTCACCTGGTTGATGCTTTTGCTTCGCACCTTTCTCAGGGCCTCTTTGGACTTGTTGGTGGACTGCTTGGCAAGCTTGACCAGGCTCTCCCGGTGCTCTCTTGTTACCCTAGCAGCAAGGGGAAAGGAAAAAAAAATCACCAAAAGGAAAAACAGTGTCATGTGTAGCACAGCCAGGTTTATTTTCTGCGATGGACTCTGGGTACGTGCAGCGATCCTCTCCGACTGGCCTGGACAGAGCTGCCACGCAGCACCAAGCCGGGCTGTGCAGGGACACCCAAGAGCCGCCGGTGTTGAGAGAGCTTGCTCAGCGTGGAGGCCCTGCGTCGCGACGGCAGAGGGACTTAACAGCTCAGGCTGTGTTTTTATCCTGCTCTGGTCCACCTGAGCAAATCGGCCGCCTCTGCACAGCATCGCCAGGGCAGCACATCCCAGTGAAGCAAGTCTTGAGCCTAGAACGGAAAGTTCCCAGCACAGCCCTAAGCTGAGGGACTTGGACTGAGTCTTACTTGTTTTAGAGTTGTCACTGCAGTGCCTGAAAGTCATGCTGAAATGATCAGACTTTCCTTTTTTTTTTTTTTTTTTTTCTGCTGCCAAAGCATCTGTGGGAAAGAGGGGAAAATCCAGCTCCAGACCTGAGAGATGGAGCTGAAAAGTGTAATCCTGCAAAGCCGGGAGGAAACCTCCGTCCCTTCCTGAAGCTCAGTATTGTCTCCCTGCAACTGAAGAGCCTGAATTATGCATCTGGAAGCTACAGAGCTTACGTCGCCCAACCTTATACCAGCTCATCACGACCAGGCTTTTCCACCAAGGCGATGTGAACGCCTGGCTTGACAAGAGGAAGATGCTAGACATGGCTAGCCAGAGGTAACCTGGCCCAGGAGAACTTCAGCTCCACCTTCCCCCTGACGCAGGGCCAGTTACTGCTGTGCTGCCACAAGAAAATCCTCGACTTTCCACCCCAAGCTAAAAACTGCAGGTGATGAGGGAGTCTGGCCATCTGAGTAAGGCAGAGGAACGGCTGACGTGTCACCCCAGCTCTGGTAGTGCTCCAGCACCTACAGCTGATCACTGTCAACATCAACTGCTAGTGCTTAACAATAACATTTTAATTATTTTCACGGCTATTGACATTTCCAGACCGCCTTGAACATGAAAAACCCCCGTGCGCTCACTGAGACTGGCTAGCAAGAGAGCGCCTGTCTGCTCGCAGAAGATATTGCAAAATAAACATTTCACAGGAGTATTTAGAAATTGGCTGCAACAGCCTGGGTCACCAAAACACTGAGGCCAAGACTCTTCCTGCAGAGAGCTCGGGAAACGTGGGGCGAGGGCTCCCAGGGCAGCACCGGCTCTGCCCCCGCGCGGGTGCGCGTACGGGGAGGCTGTCGGGGCGCGATCGCACCCTCAGCCCTTCCCAAACTCGCGCTCGGCCCG